AGTTCAAATATTGTCCTAAGTGGAGGGGCCTTACTTTGAGCCGTAATAAACAGCTAGGGATTTTCGGCACGGAGGTATGATTCAGCCTCGGCTGGCCCCCCTTCTATTCGCAGCAAAAAAAAAAAGCTGCAAACTTCAAAGGAAAAGCTCTTACCAGCTGGATCTCTCTCTTGCTCTTCTTTTCCTGAAGAATGAGGTATCTACCAGATATCTAGGCAGATAACACGACCAGAAGCCCGGAGGCAGCTCTATTAAGCTACCACCATCAGCAAGGTCCCGCCCAGGAACAATGCCCATTAATTTTAAGTATCACTCTTTCCTTAAGTACAATAAGGTCAAATAATTGGATACCTACCAAATATATATTGCTTTTATATTCACTTAAAGAATTCCAAAATTAATAAATATGACTACTCATGCAGAAATGATGTGGTCAAATGGCTTATTATAATTTTAAAAAGTATGCATCAGTATATGACGAATTTCAGCAATGAAAATCTTAATTTAGGGGTGCAAGGATAGGGACCCATAGTCTTGGAACTCCTAAACCAGGAGTGTCAAACCCGATTACATTGAGGGCCGCATCAGGGTTGTGTTTGACCTTGGGTAGGGGTGGCCAACCAGGGGGTGCCTGTGGTGGCCCCAGGGCTCTGCCAGCGAAAACAGGTTCCCAAGCTCCGTTTTCGCTGGCAGAAGCACTGTGAGCTGGTCCTTCTCTGTTTCCAAGGAGATCCCATGGACCAAATCTAAGTATCCCATGGGCCAGATCCAGCCCCCGGGCCTTGAGTTTGACACCTGTCCTAAACTATCAAGGGGGAAAAAAGGCTGATCACTGATGTATTTAAAACAAAGATTCTATAAACATCCAGAAATCATGCACTAGTGAGCTATGGATTGTTATATACAGGGATCTTTATACACATGTCTCTTGAAACAATGATTGGGAAATTTAGGTAAGACAGTCTATATAAACAATTAAAAAATTGGCTCATGCATTATAAACCAGCATAGTTAGAAGAAGGCGTCTTAAAAAAATCTAAGCTGAGAAAGAAAGGGATGCAAAATTTAGGGTTTTAATAAAACTAGCTGGTATAGATAGGGATTCTGCTTCATCTAGATCTACGAGTCTGACCTGCAAAAATTCAGAAGAGCACTAGCTTGGAGCAATAACTTCAGGGTACAATCTGCTTGTCATCTAATTTCTGTAACCTGATCTGGTAGCCCCAACTTCATGTGTTATAATATGGTACAGTTGGTGGGGAGACAGAGTACCAGGTATGAGTAAAATATTTACAGTGTTTATTACTTTTGGAGAATGTAGTCAGGTTTAATAAATGTCTTCAACTACTGACTGTTTGCAAAGGTGCAGAGAGACAAGAGGCCCATAACTTCCAATGGAAGGGTAACAGCTAATCTAAATAAGCAAAAATTCATTCACTCTTCAGAAAATTAGTAAACTTGGAGAAGTTTCAAGCATTTCTGAAGGCAAATCTCTGGAGCACTTCTCTGAAACAATGAAATAGTATGTTATAAATGCTCTAAGATCAGAATTGACCAAGATTCCATAATCACAAAGACTACAAAATGATTTGCACTGTGGCATGTGCTTTGAGGATAAAGGCCTTAACCTCACCTCACATCAGTGAGAAGGAAACATTGGGGAATAAAATCTTATAGAGCTAAACATACAATTCTTTGTACTTGATTTTGACTCAATTTTATAAATAATATACAGATACACATAAATAACCAATGAACAGGAATGGATAATCCCGGTTCCTCCAACTACTGTGTCGCCCCACGAAAACATATGCTGAATTTGACCAACTGAACTTTCAAGTAGCCAACTGAAGAACAATAGCTCCCGTTTTCTGACAGACAATCTAGGAGGACAATATCATGGTTAATCGTGTCCAAGAGGATTGGGATAACCACATAGCTCTATCTCAGTTGCACCAAAGTTTATCAATAAGAGCAACCACTGCAATTTTGATCCCATATCCAGACATGAATTTAAAAACCCCAATGATCCAGATACTCCGTTTTAACCAGGTCTGCTTGTAATTATAATCCAGAAATTGCACACAACCAAGTGACCAAAAAATAATAGAAAGTGAAAAAATAATGAAAGCAATGAATTCTTAAAAAAAAAAAGAATATTTTTATTTAAAATGATGTATAAAGATCAAATAAAATTACCTTGATTACTTCAACTTTTAATTCTTCTCGCTCTTCTTCAGAAATCACATTGGTCAAATCAACATCAGTGATGGTGTCTTCATCTGTCTCATGGAATGTTTGTTTTTCTAATAGACCTTTGGAAATAACACAGAAAAGAGTGAAATCATAAGGCTCCTTCTAAGAAACCTTGATTCCTGGACAAGTGATAATGAGGAGATACAAAGATAAAGATAACACAAATACAGGCAGTCCTCATCTTACTGACACAACTGAACCCAAAATTTCTGATGCTAAGTGAGACATTTGTTAAGTTTTTCCCCATTTTATGACCTTTCTTGCCATAGTTGTTGAGTGAATCACTGCAGTTGTTAAGTTAGTAACATGGTTATTAAGTGAATTTGACTTCCCCATTGAGTTTGCTAGTTATAAGGTCACAAAAGGTGATCACATGGGGGAAACGGTAATGGTCATAATGTGAAAAAGATCACGTCACTCTTTCCAGTGCTGTTGGAACTTTGAATGGTCACTAAATGAGCTAATCTCAGTCAAGGTCTAGCTGTAAGGAATAATCATTAGTGTATAAATCTTAAAAGTATAAATAGGCATGTAAATCCAGATTTCTGGAAGTGAATTTATAACACGAATAGAAGCAATTTAAGTAATTTACAGCGCAGAGTGTGTTCCTTGTGTTAATAGAGAACGTGACCAATCTGAAATATATTAGGCTGTTCAAGACTACCCAGTAATTATCCTCAAGCTCTGGTAAGACTTATTCTTAGGATTCTCATATCCAGTTTTCCATATAGATTGTCAACTCACTTAACCTTATGACTTACTTTACTCAAGACGATGTACTGGACATCTTTATTATAAAGAAGAGTTTATAATAGATGGCTTGAATATAATTTTAAAAATAGAACCAAAGGTTCTTGAGATATGGTGAAAAATTATGAAGCTTAAAGGATTATAGACATGCTGTAATATATCAGATCCAAATTTTCTGCAGAGAACAGTACATGTTGACCAGCTAACATATGTTCAATTCTTTGCTGCCAGATCTAAAATTCATTTTTTCTACATCACATATACAACCTTCCCTCGTAATCATTACTTTGTACAGCTCATTAATTTAGACCTTATGATGATTTAAATGGCACAAAATATATTCAAAAGAAATAACAAAGGAACTTTGGAATGAAACAGAGCATCTGTGTAATTTCCAAAGAGCTGTTCAATTCAGGTAGTTACTGGTACGAAATGCCTTCACATTTCTTTGTGTATTCTGGTTGAAATGTCAACCTTAAGGGAAGTTAATTAAAGCCAATTACATCATTTCCTGTCATCATAAGCAACAACATCATACAAAGTTACTGTACTTCTTGTTCTGCTCCTTAAAGTAATATAGATCTTGTAAAGCAAACTGCTACTGCATGGTTGTTTAATATTAAAAGGGATGTAGCAACATCATGCTTCTGAAAACACTTTTTTTGGTCAACATCACTTTATTTCAATGATAAATTAGACACTGAGAACAATGAGAAGACCAATTCCATATAACTGATCAAACAGACTAATATTAACTATATAAATGGAACCAGCTTTTAAGAACAATTAAAAGAAAACACAATTCATTGTCAGAACACAGATTTTGGAAGAGTCAATATTAAGATACGTCAGTTCTTACTTCTAAGGATAGAAACAAACTGACTTCATGGTGCTATTATCCATAGGAGAAGGAGTAAACCCAAATTTATCTCCATCTCTCTGCTGCCATCTATCAGTCACCCAGGTTTTTTGCAATAGCTCTATAGTTCATGGCAAAGAAGTGACAGCATTGTCTTCTTGGATCAGAAATAGCTACCGGTAAATATGAACAAAATTTTGCAGGAAGAATAGTTCTATGACAAAGATCAGGATGACAAAATGAAGATAAAGGAATATTTTCCCACTAACAATGGATAGTTGTAAAAGCTGTGTATTTAGAAAGAGCAGCAACCCAGATGCTTTCAATAATGGATTAATAGTTACTAAAAGAACCCATCAATCAGTCCTAAATTAAATAAAGACTGACCGATCCCTTGAAGTGATGAGTTGCATGCAGAAACTAATTTGGGGGCATGTAATGCAAACTAATTTGGGGGCATGTATGATGAAGTAGAAGTATGATTTGGAAGTAGAAGAAAGGAAAGACAACAAGTGTGGGTAGGATCAAGAGATCAGTGTTATCCCTTAGAAGAACTACAGGTTTTCAGATCAGGTTCAGATGGTGGATATTGATTCTTACAGTTGCCAATGGCTGGGCCCAACTTGATGGCATCCAAATAATTAAATCAAGTAAAAATAGACAAAGGAGTTTGAGACTTGTTACTAAATTTATTGGTTGCTTAGTGAAACCACACAGTAATGTAGCTGATTAGGACTGTGTTCTAATTACGCAAAGCTTGCTGAACCAATGAAGTAAACATTAAACAGCATCTGAGCTAGGTTAACAGAAACGATTTAAACATAATCAGTTCACATTTTGCTATGAAATACAAGAATCCAAAATTTAATTAGGCATTTTTTGTTTTTTGGCTTTTTTTTACTGCTAGCTGCCTTGAATATTATTCATTGGTAAGAATGGAGATATACATCAAATAAATAAGAAAGAAACATAGTATTTTTTATTATATTTCACTCAGCACTAATAGGTTTTAAATCACAATAATTTCCTCTACAAGTATAAACTATACTGGATTAGGCCAGCGTCCATTGTAATCTAGCATTTTGTTTCTCATATTAACCAATACGTTCCTTCTTGGTTGTTTGCAAGCAGGAAATGAAGACTTCTGCCACTTACCAGGACATACATTATTACAAAAGAAAATATAAGTTACAAGGGCTGCATTTCTTAGTGAGTGGGATTCTACTGAACAGAACCTTCCTTCTAGTACAGCAGGAGGAAAAGCATTGTAATGAGAAAAAGTAAACACTCTGCAGTGTGCTGGACAAATAAGGATGAATAAGCTGTTGGAAATATAAAGTAGCTTTGGAATGAAACCTACTTGTGGGTGATTGGCTAAAGTGTCCAAATCCCTCTGCCACATGATATTGAAAACTTTCCAAGAGCTTTTTCATGGCAGGTTTCTTTAAATCCAGAGGAAGTAGAAAAAAGGCAGGCTGTAACCACACAGGTCAGCTAAGAGTTTTCACTTTCCACCTTGATGAAAATTCATCAAGGAGAATTAACAGGGTCAGTGAGCCATTAGAGAACAAAAAGTTAAAGCTCATAAAAGAGGAGGCAACTGTGGTCTCTCGCCTCCAAAAAGTTTCCATGCAGATTAAGGCATTTGAGTCCCAGCATGGGGCTTGGGAAAGTGCTCATTAAAACTTAAGACTGAACAATGTCTTGGGGCTTGTAGTTCACTGCAAATGTGCATAGGAGCACTGTAGGACATGTGGGATATAATTTTAGCTTTTAAAAACTCAGCGGTGGCAAGCATGCATCTAACCACTTTACAATGGAAAAAGCCTAGAATTGCCTTAACACTGCTGTTAGCTTTGGCAAAGATGGATCTGATTTGTTCCCTCTAGCTTCTGGAAGCTTAGAAAATTATGCCAAGATATTTAAAAACCGGAACTTGCTCAGATTTATTATTTCTGATTTACCACTGAGGCTAATGCAACTAGGTCTCCCAAGAAGAGCATAGCGGTGGTTTTGGAGTCATTGAATGTAATGAAGCACAATATTCCATTAAAGCTTGCAGTTCGCCTGGTGCGCCAGTTGCGACCCTACCTGAACCGGGAGGCTCTCACAACNGATCGGAAGCCAGTGCAGCTCGCGGAGGATAGGTGTAATATGGGTGTATCTAGGTACACCCAAAATTGCTCGCGTGGCTGCGTTCTGGACTAACTGTAGTCTCCAAACATTTTTCAAGGGCAGTCCCATGTAAAGCGCATTACAGTAATCGAGCCTAGAGGTGACGAGGGCAAGTATCCTATGAATGTCTCCCAAAGTATTTTGCAATAATGGAAAAGACAGGATTTTAACTAGGGTTAGATTTGTACTCCAAACTCTGCCTATTAGAAAAGGGGAAAAAGCTAAACTGGTGAATAATACCTTCAGATGTTGTGGAAAAGGTTATTTTCTTATCCTCAAATTAACCCTGATACTTAAATGCTATTTTTTCTTTAAAAAAGAAGAGATGATCCTGGCTATAATTCCATTAATAAACAGCATATTTAACTTAAATGGGTACTTGGGTCCTATTGTAATAAGTAAACTCCTCCTAAATTAATAGCAAATTATAATTTATCCTTCTATTCTTCTCCCTTTTGTCATATAGTCATTTAAAAATCTGCAAACTCTAATATTTTCTCATTACTTTCATGAGAATTACAGAAGGCTTACTTAACTAGGTTACTTTAGATGTTTTCAAAAACCCAGATTCAGAGGAAGACCTCAAAAAAGCAAAGCATAGCTCTATTCTTCAACTGACTAGCATAAGAAAAGAGATTACATTTATAGGTAAACTTAATTTTGATAAGATGACATATTAATCAATAAAAAAGCTTAAAATACAATACAAAATACTACTTTTATTTTTAAGCATTGAAACCTTTACCTTTTTGGGCAGACTGTGAAATATTTGACATAATAGCTCCTGCATCAATTCCTCTGTGATTTCAGTATTTTCATGCAATTTCAACATACCATTATCTACTTCCTATAGTTTCTTAAGTGGAATTGGTATAAAATATCTCATGTCACAACATATCCCGATTATTTATAAATAGAGTGTACATGTGAATGCAAGTGTATACACATAAGTGCATGCACATGTACATGTAAGAACAGTATTTCCATAGGAGCATTCTAATTTGATTACAGATGTTCTTTATTACCCACAATTTCCTTACACAAATGATAAAAGAAATTACCTGTTTTTTTAGATTAGATGCAAAATCAATTAGCAGAGAATTCTCTCTTTTTAGTTCTATGTTGTCTTGTTCTTCTTTTTCTAGCATAGCTCTAACTTCAGCTATTCGGCTATTCAATGTAGCAATATTTAAATCAACAGTTGTGCTTCTTTTTTCTAACATGCTAATCTAGAATCAATCAGCAACAATAAACAATAAAAACCAAGGAGCAGAT